CTGCTTAATTATGTAAAAACAACAAAACAAAAATCTGTAAAAACACTGACAATGCTATTTAATAAGTTAATTATCAGTTAAAGGTTTACTTCAGCATTAGCATAATTCATCGACATAGCGTAGTAGTTTATTTAATTATTTACTAGGGATGGGTCACGATTTTCGAATATTCGATTAGTTGATTTTATTTTAGAATATCAAATAGGTTGTGCGATTATTGTCTTAAATAAATTCCCCACGTTTTCCGTGCTGATGCGGCGGTGTAAGCAGAGGGTGGCGCTGCCAATTACGCACCTAAAAGCTGTCAAAGACAAGAGAAGAACACATTGTCTCGCGCGCACACTGTAGACTTGCGTGGCATAAAAAAAAACTTGCATAGCATATAACGTTACAGTAAGGACGAAGTTCTGTGTGAACCACAAACACCGCCGACTGGGTTAGAGGTGTGGCTGAATCAGTATTCAGAAAGGCGCGGACAACAAATAACGTGTTCTACGGAGCCACTAAAGGGACATGGTTAGCCGCTTGCTAGCGGTAACCTGTTACATTACAGTACATAACATTTCACTTACCACATAAACAGAGTAAGGAGAGATGACTGATAGGATGATGGCGAATGATTTGCAGATCCTGAGCACCACTGACAAACATCTAATCTTGTAAAATGTGTGGTAAGTACTGCCGAGTGTTGCTCCGTGATGTTACGTGTGATCGCGAATCTCGAAAGTGAAAGTAAAAAACAAGTGCGCGGTTCATATGCGATTTCAATGCCCTGTATATTAATAACGGATCCCTGATGCCAGCAGTTTATAGACAGAATAATTACCCAACGATATCATTGCGACAGAAGATATTGATGTATATTTTTCCTCCCATCCCATCTTGTATCCATTCCCTTTAGGGGTTCCATTTTTTTAAATGGAAATGTCCTAGCCTTATGAGCAGTTGATTTATGCTAATCGACGGACTCTTATGTTAATAAGTCTCGTCATTCGCTTATGTTTATTATATTAATGTTTCAGCACGTTACAATCATTATATGGCTTGAGTTAAGGTAGCCTATCTTCTGAATTAAACAGTTTATCATACAGATTGAAAGTGTGAATCCCGACTCTCTCTCTCTCTCTCTCTCTCTCTCTCTCTGTTTATGGGTGTTTGTGCATGCATGTGGGGGAGGGGTGCGATTTTCGAATAATAATCGAATAACACCCAGCGATTTTCGAATATTATTTTTGCTTGGAATGCCCATCCCTATTATTTACCCAAATTATATAATGCTTCAACCCTAAAATGTGTGTGTATAAAATACAATTAAAAATTACCCAAAAAAAGGCACTATAAGTGTAGTGCCCTTTTATTAATATACAACTGCAATATATTCTATTATTCTAAATTTAATATTATTCTGATTGTGTGAAGAACAGATGTCAAAAAGGCATGTTTCATTGTTCGAGATGTGACAAGTTAATATATTAAGTTAACGATGTATGTGTGTGTGTGTTTTGTCAGTTTTAAGCTTGATAGATATCAGCACTGTAAACAATGCCAAAAGTAAGAGATACTGTACATAGAAAGTGTGAATCCCGCCTCTCTCTCTCTCTCTCTCTCTCTCTCTCTCTGTTTATGGGTGTTTGTGCATGCATGTGGGGGAGGGGTGCGATTTTCGAATAATAATCGAATAACACCCAGCGATTTTCGAATATTATTTTTGCTTGGAATGCCCATCCCTATTATTTACCCAAATTATATAATGCTTCAACCCTAAAATGTGTGTGTATAAAATACAATTAAAAATTACCCAAAAAAAGGCACTATAAGTGTAGTGCCCTTTTATTAATATACAACTGCAATATATTCTATTATTCTAAATTTAATATTATTCTGATTGTGTGAAGAACAGATGTCAAAAAGGCATGTTTCATTGTTCGAGATGTGACAAGTTAATATATTAAGTTAACGATGTATGTGTGTGTGTGTTTTGTCAGTTTTAAGCTTGATAGATATCAGCACTGTAAACAATGCCAAAAGTAAGAGATACTGTACATACAAGAAGAAATCCCCACACAAATCATGTTTCTTTAACATAAAAAACACTATTTTTTATGTATGCATTTATTTATTTATTTTTAAGATTCTCAATATTCTTGAATTCCTTAAAGAATTTCTGTCACAAATGCCACTAAACTAGGGGTGCTCCGATCAGGATTTTTGAGGCCGATCACAACGTACTTCCTTATGCATGTATGCATGCACTTATGTACTTCCTTCCTTAAGTACATGCGCACATACTTCCATCCTTACGTATGTACACACGTACATACCTCCCTCCTGCTTTACGTACACACGTACTTCCATCCTCACATACATACAGACTCAGGTACATCCTTACGTAATTATGCATGTGCTCACGTACTTCCTTCCTTACATACGCACATACTTCCTTGTGTATGTCCTTCTTTCCTTCCTTATGTACATATGATACGCATGTACGTACTTCCTTACGCATGTATTTCTTCCTTACGTACGTACGTATGTACTTCCTTCCTTCCTTATGAATGCATGCACTTCCTTCGTTGCATATATACATACACACACACACACACACACACACCTGCATG